GCCACAGAGACTGGACACCAGCAGAGCTGAGGTGCTGGTGCTGCCTGACTCAGAACCCTGCCACAGTCCTTTTTTTTTTTTCGGCTCCTCTGCCTGTTTCTTCTTTATGTTTTTGATTTTTTTTTTGATTGTTTCTATGTAGAAAGAATTACTGATTAGAAATTTTTTTTTCTACAGAAAATCAAAAAATCAAGTAAAAATCACTTCCCTGATGAGCTGATGGCTCACGCCTGTGGTCCCAGCCATTTGGGAGGTTTTTTTTGGAGGATTGCTTAAGCCCAGGAGATCAAGTCCAACCTGTTTTTTTTAGTGAGACCCACATCTCTCTCTCTCTCTCTCTCTCTCTTTTTTTTTCTCTCTTTTTTTGTTTTTTGTTTTTTTGTTTGAGATGGTTTTTTTTTCTTCTCACCCAAGCTGGAGTGTAATGGCACCATCTTGTTTTTTTTCAACCTCTGCCTCCCGGGTTCAAGTGATTCGCCTGCCGTTTTTTTTCGAGTAGCTGGGATTACAGGCACCAGCCACCACATCTGTTTTTTTTTTGTATTTTTAGTAGAGATGGGGTTTCACCATGTTGGTTTTTTTTTCTGGTCTCCTCCTGACCTCAGGTGATCCACCTGCCTTTTTTTTTTTAAGTGTTGGGATTACAGGTGTGAGCCACTGCACCCAGCAAAACCCCCATCTCTTAAAAAAAAGTCACTCCTAGAGATAACCACTTTTTTTTTTCTTGTTGTTTTTATTTCTTTTCTTGTAGCTAGAGCTATTTTTTTTTCCCCTTAGCAACCTCCTCATTCTCAAGTGGGGGTGGCTTTTTTTTTGTTTGACTCCAGTGGTCCTCAGAAAGGTGGCTTCCAGTTTTTTTTGACTGCTGGTGAGTGCAGGCTGCTTCAGCATTTCCTGGTTTTTTTTCAAGGTGTTAGGTGTTGGCCTGCCCTACCGGTCTGGCTGGCACCATCTCGTCACACCCTGCCCAGTCTCCAAGAGCTGTGGCGGTTTTTTTTACTGTAAGGCTATGGGAGCCCCTAGGATGGCAGCCTGGTTTTTTTTTGTGTGTGAACCTGTGTCCTACTATTTGTTTCTTGACTTTTTTTTTCTATCTCCGTTCTTGTCTCTCTTTGTTTTTAATCATTCTTTTTTTTTCTTCTGTTAACTTGTTAATTGTATACTGTTTTCCCTTTTTTTTTTTAATTTCCACAGGCATAACAACAAAAATCCTTGACTTATTTTTTTTTAATAGAAAATAGTAGCATGTTTACCATTTCCTCTACAGTGCTTAGGACCTTAGAACACTTTAAGGCTATTTGCCACTCTTTCTTTTTTTTTATTGTTGCTACATTTTAAATACTGTAAGTCACTGTTCCTCTTTTATACAGTCAATATTCATTTAAATCTACCTACGTATTTACCTTTTTTTTCCCTGCTTTTTTTTTTTTTTGGAGATAGGGTCTTGCTTTTTTTTTTAGGCTGGAGTGCAGTAGTGTAATCATAGCTCTGTGCAGTTTTTTTTGCCTGGCTCAAGCAATCCTCTTGCCTGAGCCTCTCAAGTTTTTTTTATTACAGGCACAAGCCATTGTATTTACCCTTTCTGAGGCATTTTATTTTTTCCCTGCAATTCCACGTTTCCGTCTGAGATCATTTTTTTTTTGCCTAAAGTATTGCTTTTAGTATTTCTTGAATAACAGATTTTTTTTTAACTAATTCTCCTAACCGTTCTTTGTCTGAAAAAGTCTTTTTTTTGAAGACTTCTTAACTAGATTTAGAATTTTGTGTGACATTTTTTTTTTCCACATTTCTGAGATACCATTTCGTTGTCTTACGGTTTCCATAGTTTCAGTTGAGAAGTCAGCAGTCTGTTTTAGTTTCTGCCTTTTTTTTCGTTTTTGTTTTTTTTTTAATCCCTCCAGGCCCATGAGTTTTTTTTAGGTTGGTGCAAAAGTAATTGTGGTTTCTGCCACTATGTTTTTTTTCAAAAACCACAGTTATGTTTGCACCAACCTAATGGGAAGCTCTGCTCAGTCTCTTAGCTTTTCAGCTGCTGCATGTAAATAGACTTTTTTTTAAGGGAAAGAGGGACGTGATGTCAGGCTCACTTTGTTTTTTTTTTTTTATCTCCGTGATTGCAGCCCCTGAAATCCTTGTTGTCTTTTTTTTTCTCTAAAGCCAATTAAATATATATATATATTTTCTATTTTTTTTTTTTTTTGAGATAGTCTGCAGCCTAGGCTGGAGTGCAATTTTTTTTTCTCAGCTCACTGCAACCTCCACTTCCTGGGTTCAAACGTTTTTTTTGCCTCAGCCTCCTGAATATCTGAGATTACAGGCATGTGGCACCACATCCAGCTAATTTTTATATTTTTAGTAGAGACTGGGTTTTGCCATGTTGGCCAGGCTGGGCTCAAACTCCTGACCTAAAGTGATCTTTTTTTTTCGGCCTCCCAAAGCTCTCGGATTGCAGGCGTGAACCATTTTTTTTGGCTGAAATAGATTTTTAAAAATGTGTTTGCTGTCAGGTTTTTTTTCCTGTGTTGGAAAGACCAGGTCCCCAAGCTGAACCCCGCATGCTCCTTGACTCTCCCAGAGACTCCTGCCCTTTGGTAGTGGTGTTTTTTTTGGGATGGGCAGTTAAGTGGGCATTAGGGAGGGGAATTCTTTTTTTTCTCCAAGCTAAGGGGACTGGAGGTCAGAGAGACTGCACTTTTTTTTCGCGATCGCACAACAGTGGCTGCACGTCAGATTAGCTCTTTTTTTTTGAGTCTGGGGAGGGTGTGGACTCAGCTCAATAGAGCTTTTTTTTTCCAGCGCAACCTTAATGTTTTTAAATGTGGAAACTGAGTTTTTTTTTGAGACCTTCCCCTAGTGGTTGAGATCTGGGTATTCTTGGCTGCTTGGCCAGTGCTCCACTCTGGGGGTGGCAGGGCACAGTGGGCACAAGGCTCTGCTTCCATCTCTTGCTTGTGGTTCACTCCTCCAGTTGGCCTTCTGAAGCCTGGGCAGTGGGCGGGGCTGGAGGCAGGGTGTTTTTTTTTGCTCTGAGTTCTGGGTCAAGTTCCCTCTGGCCTCTCCTTTTTTTTGTCAATTTCTCACAGAACCCTGGAGACAGTTTCTGAAATTTTTTTTTTTTCTTCTTACTAATCCTTGCAGTTTTCTTCCCACACTTTTTTTTTCTTCCTCATTTCTCCCCACCCTGTTGTGAACAAAAGCCTTTGCACCCAGTCATGCCCCACTTTGTCTCCCTGTACCTCAGTGACCTGACATGTACCCCCAGGCCTTAGGCAGGCGTTCAAGGATGGGGGTTTTTTTTGGGTATCTCCGCACCTTAGAGGAAGCAGGCTCTCGGAGTTTTTTTTGGCTTCGTCCACACAGGCGATGTTGGCACTGCCCCATCTTTTTTTTCACCCAGTGGTTCAGCCCAGCCCCAAGGCTCCAGGCCCTTTTTTTTTGGCAGGGGGGAAGGAGATGGTAAGTAAGCTGGGGGCAGGAAGCAGGTGGAGCCCTTGAATAGGAGAGTGAATGGCATCTGAAATTTTTTTTGTCCAAAGCACTGCCGCTTGCTAGCTGTGTGGCCACAGTTTTTTTTGCCTCTGGGAAAGCTTACTTTCGCAGGTCCTGAGAAAGTTTTTTTTACTTTTACCTGGTCCAGACAGAGGGCTTTGAAGATGGCTTTTTTTTGGAGGCTTGTTGGGAAATTGTTTCCTGCCTTAGAGGCCTTTTTTTTTTCTGAGGGACCAACGGTCAAGAACTGAAAGAGGTACTTTTTTTTTAGGAGGACCCGCGGCCTAGTCTCCGTTGGCCAGCATCTGAGGGGCCACTCTTGCATCCCCTGGGGCTAGGGGTCTGTCCCACTGTTTTTTTTTTGCCTTTCTTAGACCCAGCAGCCCCCCAGGACCTCTCTTTTTTTTGCCCTGTGGAGTTACCAGGGACACCTCTTCCTGGGAGCCTGCTTCTGTGTGTGGGGGTCCAGGATTTGATGAGCCCCTGAGCCATTTTTTTTCCCAGTGAGTTCTTGGTTCAGCCACCTCTGCCTGAAAATTTTTTTTCAAGAAGAAAATAAAAACATAGTAATTAGCCACAGCTCTTTTTTTTTGATTCTGGTCCCTTGTGGCTCCTCTGTCTTCATGGAGTTTTTTTTGGCTGTGCATTTCTCACTGCTGTCCTGGTGGACTGTGGCCTTCCCAGCCTTGCACACGGTCATGCCTGTTTTCCCAGCCCTCACTTTTTTTTCTCAGCAGTCTTGGAGCTGAGTCAGCCTCTCGTGTGCTTTGTGCCTTGACCCTGTCCACGTCATCTGCAGGCCTAGGCGCTGCCTTTTTTTTGAGTGCCTCCCCTCCATGTTCCCATGGCTTGTAGGCAGCTGCGCCCCTCTGGAGCCCACCAGCACCTGCTTGTCTGTCCACACGTTTTTTTTCACTCACTGCCACTTGCCCCTGGCCCAGCACACCCAGATTTTTTTTTCTAAGTAGTTGAGGCGTACTCCGTGTCATGAGCCCCATTTTTTTTAGGCTCTGAAGAGGGACCAGACTTGGGGAACTTGTGGTTTTTTTTTGGCCTTCTCTTTTAGGAATCACTCAGTCCAGGAGCTTTTTTTTTTTCTGGGAGGCATACCTTGCCTTGAGCTCAGATGTGCAGCCACTGCTGTGTGATCCTGTGAAAAGGGTATGGTCTCTCTGACCTCCTTTTTTTTTAGCTGTTAAATGGGGATGATCCAGGAGAGATACCCTGTTTTTTTTCCCTAGGCGTCCTTGGCCCAACTCTAGAAGAGAACCATTTTTTTTTAGAGTAGACAGGGCCTCTGGAGGGCAGCCAGTCCCGCTTTTTTTTTGGGGACAGTGCCAAGTGGCCTGACTGATGACGCTTCATTTTTTTTTTTTCCTCCTCACCAGGCCATCTCCAGAGAGCGCAGAGGAAAGTTGGGAAGTCATGGGCTATGCAAGTTGTATGAATGAATGAATTTTTTTTTGTCACACACTGACTTCGTCTCTGCTTGTTCTCTCTGTCTTTTTTTTGAACTTAGGCTGCGCAACTATGTCCCGGAGGATGAGGATTTTTTTTAGAGGAGGGTGCCCCAGGCCAAACCGGTTGCAGGTAAGCAGGCTGCCCCTCTCCACCTCTGCTTCCTGGCACTGTCAGCCACCCTGCACCTCAGCAGGCTTTGCTCTCTGAGAATAACCAGCAGTACCGGGACAGGAGTTGGGCTTTCAGGCAGGACCCTTTGTTACCATCTCATGGCAGATGCACACAGTCGGCCGTCGGTGGCAGCAGAGGCTGTCGGGGCGCTGAAGAGGCCTCTTGTGCCTTCTCAGTCCTGCTCACACCCGCCTGAGACTGTGGCCTCCCCGGGATCTGAGTGGGGTTTGAAAAAGGCCACATCCTCTCAGAGGACTCCTGGGCTGAGAAGTGGACGTGGTCATGGGGCCCTTGGGCAGCAGGGCAGGTGATGGGTCCTGTGGGGCCTGGGTGGGTCAGAGACAGGGGCCAGTCATTCAGCCACGCACAGCAGTGGACCGGCAATGTGGAGCACCGAGGCAGGGGAGAGGGCCTGGCCCAGGGCTTGCCTAGTCTCTTGCCATGGTGTGGGAGCAGCACAGCCACTAGGAGCTTCTGGCCGTCCACACCACTCATGCCAGGAAGTTTCTTAGTCCTCCGGATCCCTGGGCCCTTGCCCTGGAGAGTCCCTATTTTAATTCTTTATGTTTGTTGCTTTTTTTTTTTTTTTTTTGAGACGGAGTCTCGCTCTATTACCTAGGCTGGAGTGCAGTGGCATAATCGCGGCTCACTGTAACCTCAGCCTCCTGAGTAGCTGGGATTACAGGTGTGTGCCACTGTGCCTGGCTAATTTTTGTGTTTTTAGTAGAGACAGGATTTCACCATGTTGGCCAGGCTGGTCTTGAACTTCTGACCTCAGGTGATCCACCCGCCACGGCGTCCCAGAGTTTTGGGATTCCAGGTGTGAGCCTCCACTCCTGGCCTTGTTATCATCTTTCTTTGAATTGCATAAGTAACAAGTGAATAAATACATTTATCTTGGGAAAAAGTAAAGTGTTTCCGCTTGGCCACATCCCAGTCTGCTTCCCCACCTCCTTCATCCCTGAAATCCACACATTTCCCCATGATTTGCTCTGTAGTCTGGGCCCCACCTGGTAGGGTAATGGTGCAGTGGGGGTCAGTAAGCAGGACAGAGGAGAGGTGAGGAACTGCCCAGGTCAGGGGCAGCCCTCAACTCTCATCTGTTTCTGGAGGGAGGTGAGGCAGAGCAGGAGGGCACTCATGGGCCCACTGAGTGCCAGGGGTTGGAGGAAGCCCACAGAGCCCAGAGTTGTTAGTGCTTCTGCCATTTGTCCCCGTGGGGCAGGAGCCTTCTAGTCAGATTGCTCAGAGGCTCGCTATTCTGGCAGCAGCTTGGAGGAGCTGGAAGGTGCCTCTGTCCTGGTCTTGGGAGCATACACCTGAGGTGGGATGGAGGAAAAGCCACCTGTGGCTCTGGCTAGGCTGGGACCCAGAGGACATCCTCAGAGCCCAGTAGCCCTAGGATTATGTGAGAAGCCAGTCCTCACTTTGTATGTATCCAGGCAGCTCTCTGGTCTCGTAGTTACTGTCAGCATCCATGCTTCCTGACTGACTGTGGCTGGCTGCCTCCTGCTGTCCCATTCTTGGCCTGTGGGGACTCCTTCATCCTGGGAAACCCAGGCCCCCCCTCCAGAGCTGCCTTTGCAGGGTCTTCACCTCTGGCTGATTGGGGACCACAGAGAAGTGGGTGCAAGGAAGCCTGGGGTCCTGTCTCACTGCGGGCCACAGTAGGCAGTGTCCCTGCAGAGCAGCAGCGCCTTTCCCACAGGCCTTCTCTGTTTTATTGCACCCTCTAGTGGAGGAGAAGGTGAAGGAGCAGCTGGAGGCCGCCAAGCCTGAGCCCGTCATCGAGGAGGTGGTACGTGCCTGGGCTGCCCTGGCATCCTCACTGCTTCTGTGTGTCCTGTTTCTCTTTGCCACCTGCTCTCCCTCTGCCCCTCATTCCTTCTCATCACTTCTATTCCCTTCCCACCTGCCTCTTTGCCCTCGTCCCTCTCCTTCCTCCTTCTCTTTCTCCCATTTCCCTCCTTCCTGAGCCTGCCCTCCCCCTTCCCTGGGGCGGCCCCTCCACCCTGATATGTGTCTCCTCCCTTCCCAGGACCTGGCCAACCTCGCTCCTCGGAAGCCTGACTGGTGAGTGTTACCCGTGTGGGGCTGGTGCAGGCTGACTCAGGGGCTCTTGGTGCCAGCATGGGCCAGGGGCTTGGCCCTTCCTGCCCTTACAGTGCAGAGACTGGCAGTACAGACATAGAGTTGCACGAGATAGCTACTGTTGGAAACCAGTGCTGAGGAGGACGTAAGTGGCGGGATGAGAGGGGAGTGATGGAGAGGGGCTCAGGTGCGGGGAGCAGCAGGCCCCTCATGAAGGCCCTCCTGAGAGGTTGAGAGCCCATCTGCTCCAGAGCTCCCATTTGAGTGAACCCAACCGCTGTCCTTGGGGGCCAGGGGTGGACGGAAGGGCAGACACAGTTTTCTGTTCCTCTTCTACCACCATAGTTTGTTCCCTCTGGCCCTGGTTTCCTCCTCTCTGAAATGAAGGTCGTCATCCTTCTTGCTAGGCAGAGAGAGAGTGGGAGAGAGGGTGCTGTGGGCCGGGAGGCTTGTGTCTGTCTTCATCTTGAGCCGGAGGTAGGGCTGTATCCCTGTCGTCTGATTCTGGGTCCACTTCACACCAGCTGAGGGTATTTTAATTTGATGAAACAAAAGCATGGGGCATATGTCCTGGGAATCCCAGAGCCAGAGAGAATGGACTGAGTGCTTGTGCACTTCCAGATGCCCACAGTGGAGGGGCTGGGCCTGTGGCTGGAGGAGGAGCAGGGCCCACAGTGGACGGGAGCAAGTCACTCCCTGATGGTGACCGGAGGAGCAGAGCAAGAGAGGGTCCCTGAGAAACCATCCACTTTTGCATGTCTTAGCTCAGTCCCTTGCGTTGGGTGGGTTTGTGGTACTAGTCCCCCCGCCTCAGTGGGACAGGAAATAATGGTTCGTGCTGGGTTTCAGAGGGTGCAGAAGGGGAATGTCCTGGCCTCTTCCCCAGGGCAGCCCCCTCAAGCAACTGAGCATGACTCCTATGCCAGAGGGCTGCAAGAGGGGAGGGGGTCCAAGGCCACATCAGGCCGACCTTCACCTTCCTGCTTCTCCCTGCCTCCCTGCTCCAGGGACCTCAAGAGAGATGTGGCCAAGAAGCTGGAGAAACTAAAAAAGCGGACTCAGAGGGCCATTGCCGAGCTGATCCGTAAGTGCAGTACCTGGGAAGGTGGGGTCCTACCCACTGGATGGTGGCCCAAGCACGGGAACCCTTCCCACTCCTCCTGTCTGCCATCCATCCCAGGTGAAAGGCTGAAAGGCCAGGATGACAGCCTAGCCTCTGCAGTGGATGCTGCCACCGAACAAAAGGCCTGTGACTCTGACTGAGGCGTGCGCTGCCCCACCACTCGCCCATCAGGCCTGTCCTGCAGGGGATGGTCTTGGGCAGGGATGGGGGCTCGGCTTGCCGTCACCTCCAGTTTGGCTTCTGAGCAGAGACTCCCTGCCCGTCACGTCTGAAACCCCTATCGGTGAGGTCAGCTCCGTGTCTCCTGGGTGGCCCCTGCCATTCTGAATGGAGGCAGAACCAGCAACAACTCTGGGCATGCCTGTGTCTGCCCATGTGAATGTAAATATGTTTGTATATATGTATATATTTTGAACTTGAAAAAAAAAAATCTGGAAATAGAGACAAGTAAACCTCTGTCTGTGGCAGAAATCTGTCAGATATTTCCTAGGTCTCAGGGTAGGTACTGTGGATTTGGGCTCCACAGGATGGAGATGGAGTGACTGCAGAGGTGGTACTTGATATGTATGAATAATCCCTGTGTTGGGCTGGGCATGTTAAGGCTGGACGGGTGGGGAACACTCAGGGCTGCCTTCTGCAGCCATGTCCTGGCCCAGTCCATGGTCACTGCTGGTCATCTCAAGATCCTTGGGTGATAGAGACAGGGTCTGAGAAAGTCCTTTTTAACACCTCCCCCAGGCCTCAGCCTTGCAGTAGTCTGTGGAGTAGCTGGAGAGGCTCCCACCCTGGTCCTCTGGGGATCCTCTCACAGTATGAGAGAGACTGGGCCTTGGCAGGCCCCAACTCAGGGCCACTCCAGATTTGATGCTGCTGTCACTGCTTTCCCCACTCTCCCCAGCCCCAGGTGGCCCCTCTCCCTGCTCCACCAGTTAGAGCTAGACTGAGGCTCCCCTAGGACAGAGACCCTGCATGGGAGGGGTGGCCCATTTTGCTAGAGACGGGGACATTGTAGGCTGGGTTTCAGGTGTGGTCGTGGACCCTAGATCCCCAAGGTTCTGGCTTTAGGATATGAGCCACCTCTGTGGAGCTGACTCTCCAGGGTAGCAGGCTGGCTGCGTCATCTCTGACTGCAGTACCTGTGGCCAACTGGACTTGCATCTCCTCCAGGATGGTTACACCCTTGAGTTTCCTTCAGGATGTCCCCTTGAGCCTCCTGCCTCTGCCCTAAGCCGTCTAGTGTGTTCTTCCTCTCCGCAGTGTTCCAGAAACACAGTGACCCATCTCTGGCAGACAGTGCCAAGCACTCCCGTCATAGAGGCAGAGTGGGTTTGTGCACACAGAGACCAGCACACTCACACAACCAATGAAAAAACTCTTTAAGTTAAAATTATGCAACTATTCTTGGAAGGTAATTCCTGTGTGGAAAAGAAGCAGAAACTTCTAGCTGTAGGTGAGGGCTGAAGTGGTAGCTGGCCAGCTTCTGCATTGAGTACTAAGACCAGACCAAGACCCTGACTCCCACATGGGGCAGAAACCCTTCCAGTATTTCCTAGGTCCAGTGGTACATGCAGGACTGGAGCCAGGCTCCCTCTGTCCAGTTGGTAAAACTGGAGCTGGGCTGTTTTTCCTACGGAAAAAAAGGGTGAAAAGACTCTCTGCATCTCCTGGGATTGCAGCTGGAAACAGGACGCATGTCTGTAGCAGTGGAAGGACATGGATACCTGGTGACTGGCAACTAAGCTGCCACTCAGCATCAGCTCTGGGACTAGAGTAGGGTTATCCCCCAGTACGACAGTCCCGAGAGCTATTGAAAGGTATGCTTCTGGTTTTATGACCCTGGGTGTCGTCCTAGAAGGAAAAACAAAGTACCATGCATCATGAGTACGCAAACAAAAATTACAAAATACATGAGAAAATCCAATGCCTTAAAGAATGACCAGTAACCCAAGTGGGAGGATTTATACCCAAACTGAAATAGTAACAGCCTACAAGGTTTTAAAAATGAGCATTTGTTTTTACATCAGAGAGATAAAAGAGGGTGTGGTACCCTTAAGAACAGAGATTAGACATAAGAAAGAACTGATGATAAATTTTGGAAAGAAAGAATACAGCTCTTAAAATAAGAAACTCACTAGAGAGCCAAGTATTAACCTATAGTCCAAGAAAGGATTAGTAAATTGGAAGTTAAAGCTGAAATGGTCATATGGAAGGTGGCAGTGAGAGATAAAGAGGGCGAGATAGAGGGTGGCTTGAGAACCTTGTCATACTGGTACATGTCCTATAGATGACAGGAGTTCCAAGAAAAGGAAACTAGAGAGAGAAGGTACTTGAAGAAAGAATGGCCAACAACTTCTTTTTTTTTCGTAGACAAAGTCTCACTCTGTCACCCAGGCTGGAGTGCAGTGGCACCATCTAGGCTCACTGCAACCTCTGTCTCCCAGGTTCAAGTTATTCTCCTGCCTCAGCCACCCAAGTAGCTGGGATTATAGATGCGTGCCACCACGTCCAGCTAATTTTTGTATTTTACTAGAGATGGGGTTTCACTATGTTGGCCAGGCTGGTCTTGACTCCTGACTTCTGGTGATCCATCTGCCTCGGCCTCCCAAAGTGCAGGGATTACCGGCATGAGCCACTGCACCCAGCCGGCCAACCACTTCTCTTTCTAGTTTCATAGTGGAATAGTTACCTGAACTGATCCTCTCTATGCAAACAGCTAAAAATTCTAGGTAAATAAAGAATAACAACAAATATTTTAAAAATACAGCAATGAGCTGGCAAGAAAATAAGAAATACTTTGGCAGAATGTAAAAGAGATAGCAGAATGCCAAAGTCTGACCTTTGCCTTGAGAGTATTTGACAAACCAGGTGAAACTGAACATTGTTTTTTGGGGTTCCTGATGCCTGGGCTGAAGACAAACCAAAACCTTTGCAAAATGAGGGCCCTAATAGAACTCTCTATAAAGCTGGGTCCCCAAAGGGTGACACCCTCTGTGAACTAATAGCAAATCTGCCCTCCTGGCTTCCCATACAAAAATTAAACCTTGCCACTTACTCGACTGAAAAAAAGTCTTCCTTGAGAACTGAGCCAGCCTTCATGTGGGTTTTTGCACATGAGAATCCAAGAATTTAAGTGATCCCACTGGTCCCAGAATGTTGGAAGTCTCAAACACTTGATAGAAGAAAATGTAGATCCTACCTGGACAAAGCTTTATTCATATCGGTTCTCAAAGAATTCTCACTTATAAAGTTCCAAGACATATGAGAATCTTAGGGCCTACTCAGTGACCCTTGATGGACAGTGACCCTCAAGGATCATCCCCAAACATGACCTGGGCCACTTCACAATGTACCGCCTCATCGCTGCTGAGTATGATGGGCACAGCACCTGTCCCTCCCCACAGTGCGACTAGGAGTCTGGCCCTATATGGGACGATGGCTTGCTGGGAAATGAGCATCAAAGGAAGGGAGCAATAAATTTTGAGCCAAGAGCTTTAAGTTATTTTTAAAATAGGAAAGAGAAATGAACAGATTGCAGAAAGGCTCGTCAGACAAGCAAGGTAACAGAGCCTCAGGTGCAAGATAACCAACATCAAAAATAACATGGTAGAACCAAACTTGTAAAGACTTCAGACATCAGAATTATCAGCCATGGAATTTAGGTATGTTTAAAAATTATTTAAGAACTAGGCCAGGCGCGGTGGCTCAAGCCTATAATCCCAGCACTTTGGGAGGCCGAGACGGGCGGATCACGAGGTCAGGAGATCGAGACCATCCTGGCTAACACGGTGAAACCCCGTCTCTACTAAAAAATACAAAAAACTAGCCGGGCCAGCTACTCGAGAGGCTGAGGCAGGAGAATGGTGTAAACCTAGGAGGCGGAGCTTGCAGTGAGCTGAGATCCGGCCACTGCACTCCAGCCTGGGCAACAGAGCAAGACTCCGTCTCAAAAAAAAAATAAAAAATTTAAAAAAAAATTATTTAAGAACTAAAAGATGCGAAAATAGGAGCAGATTTGCAAAAGAACCAAACCAATGTTCTGGAAATAAAAGATACAGTAATCTGCCCCCAACCCCTGGCGTATCCAGTTTCCCTTTCTGTGGTTTTAGCTACCTGTTGTCAACCGTGTCCAAAACTATCACATGCAATAAGATACTTTGAGAGAGACCACATTCACATAATTTTTATTAGTGTATATTTTTATAATTTTCTCATTAGTTCTTGTTAATTTGTTACTGTGCCTAATTTATAAATTAAACTTTATCATATGTATGTATGTGTAAGAGAAAGCACAGTATATATAGGGTTCAGTACTAACCGCCATTTCGGGCATCCACTGGGGTTGGGGGTCTTGGAACATCCCCCCCACATGGATAAGGAGTGACTATATACTACTGTAGTGTATTATGGCAGTTAAAAACCTTGTATCTGTGGATTAGACAAAGGTGAAGAGATAATTAGTGAATGGGAGGCTAGATCTGAAGTTTTCCAAAATGCAGCCCAGCAAGATAAAACAGTGATAATGTAAAGCAAGAGACTGAGAGACATGGAGAATAGAATGAAGAGATCCAATGTAAAACGATGGAGTTCCAGGTGGAAAAAAACAAAACAAAACAGTGAAAATGAGTCAGAAGCAGTATTTAAAAACAGTGGCTGAGAACTTTCCAGAACTTTTGAAAATCACTAGTTCACAGATTCAAGAAGACCAGCAAGTCTCAAGCAGGTTGATAGGAAGAAATATACGTCCAAATGTTCTGTTTCTTCATCTGGGTGATGATTAAGTAGGTATTTGTACTTTATGAATATTCATTGAACTGTATACATGTTTTATGCACTTTTCTTATGTTTATTCTAAGTAAGCAAATTTACTTAAAAAAAATTCCATACTTTTCATTGATCATCAGTTGCTACACACAAATTACCCAAAACTGGGGGCTTAAAATAACAAACACTTATTACCTCAGTTTCTGTGGGCCAGGAATCAGGAGTGGCTTAGCTGGGTGAGTCTAGCTTGGGGTCAGTTGGGAAGCTGCACTCATTTGAAGGCTGGACTGGGGCTGGAGGATCTGTTTCCAAGATCACTCATGGGGTTGTTGATTGGTGGCCCCTGTGCCTCGCCACATGGACATCTCCGTCGGCCTGAGTGTTCTCAGGAGATGGCAGGTGGCTTTCCCAGAGTGGCAATCCAAGAGAGAAGGCAGGAGGGAGCATTATGGGGCTTGCTTATGATCTGGCCTTGGAAGTGATATTCTGCTACATTCTGTTTGTTAGAAGCAAGTCACTACACCCAGCACACACTTAGAAGAATTAGGTTCCACTTCCTAAAGGGAGGACTGTAAGAATTTGTGGACTTATTTAAAAACTACTACATACCCAATCACGTTGTAATAACATTAAAGAGCACAAAGACCATGAAAATACCTTAAAATCAGAGAGAAAGGACATACTACCTTTCAAGGAGTAACGTAGC